CTATAAAGTGATAATGTCAGTAGTTCAAAGTAAGCATCGAGAAACATCAGGCAGGATTCTATAGAATGATGTGCCAGTGAATCTTGCTCTATCCTGCAGTTTTCCGGCTATTGTAATTCCAAGCTATTGATGATTTGAAAAAGTCATTAAAATTTTCGACTATTTGGTATCATTGAAATCTACTAAATTGCGATATGCTGATACATACTAAAGTTGAGTTCAAAACCCCAGAAAAGAGCTTTTTTTTTTTCCTTTAGTTTAGCATGTATGTTGTCTTGTAACAAACATGCGATAGTACTTGCAGTTCTAGAACATAATTACTTGGTTTGCATACTGTTTTTTATCATCTCCTGGAAGAACTAACCTTGGAGATCTTGTATACAGGTCTTACCTGATAAATAGGGCATGGTAACAGATCGTGGTGCATTTCACGAATTTTAGCCTTTTCTGCTATGCCTTGACTATCTTATGGCACTAAACCAATAACCTCACACTTCTGCAGTGGTGTAGTATGATAGCATGCAACATAAAAAGCTTGAGTTGCACATATCAGCTGCCAACAGCGGTGCTTCTTTAGGGTCTTGATAGGGAGTACTAAGGGCTTGTCATGTTACTAAAGCAAAAATGGTTCTAGGGAAAGGTGGAACAGTCATGAGGCTCTGGGAAAAGTTTCCTGTGCTTTTAATGTGTGTTCTTGTGTTTCTCCATATGGAGCTTGAAACTTTGCAGTACTAGTGCCTGTAACTTGTAACATTTATTATGGTAAATGTGTACACCTGAATTTAAAATTGCAAAATTAAGTATAATTAGGTCTGTATTTAAACACAGTTTTAATTCTTTAATAAACATGAAAGTCATCTGTACCACTAAGAGAAAAACAATTGCAGACTAATTACCTTTAAGTAACGTATTTTATATTTAAACAATCTATTATAGTAATAGGAAGATGAAAAAAAATATTTTAGGGTCTTTTGCCCAGCATCCTTTTTAATCATTCTACATTTAGAGCCCATTTTTGGACGTTCCAAAGTACCTTATAATAGGTACCAAATTCCTTCAGCTAAGAGTCGAGTTTTGGGGGTTAATCAAGATGGCTAATGTAAGAGGAATCATCACGTTCTTGGATGGTGGGGTTGTAGTAGCAGTGGTGGGTTCTGGTAGATGTCTGTAAGTTCAAGGGATAAGCTTTTTTCCCCTCCATCGGTTATAGAGGAAGTCTGGTTTCTTAGATTTATTTGAACAAATTCCCTTATGAATGAATTCTCTGTCATGCTGATGACAAGGGGACTGAACTTCCTGAATGTACTTAGCCCAGCGCAGTATCACCCTGTGACTTTGAGCCCAGCACTGCACTTTGAATTTTGCAGCTCAGTGCAGGTTTATCAAAAGCCAAGCACGGCTTAATCAGGGATGGCGGTCGGTTGACTTTGAACACAGCCACTGAAACAACTGTTGCTGAACTTGACAAGATGGGTAGATACGTTGATTAACCTTGCAGTGTACGGTAATCCTCCTTAGATATTTTAATTCATGACTTAGGTTTAGAATAAAGATAACTGCACTGAGCAGCCTGACCTTTTTTGGTCATGGGCCAGTGAAGATTCCCAAGCTAAGGAGGCTTAGAGTTAAGGGGGTTTTGATGCGAGACTTTCAGGATTTCGTGCAGAAGCTTGTGCTGCTCTTTCCTCTGGATTACTGCCCCAGTGACAAGTTCTATGTAGGAACATGGTGCCTTTGAAAGTGTTGTCTTGAATGGTTGCTACTTTATGTATCCTAAGAAAAGGACACTTAGCAAGTGTCCAGGCTTTTAACCCTTTAAGTTGTAGCTATACCTGCTTTTATAGTGTATGCCTTCACCTTTTTCCTTTTCCACGGTAAAAATATTTTCTCAGTTGTTTAAATGTTCATGTAGTATCAGTCTCATAGGTAGGAAAGCAGTTGCTGCTACCTGTTTCTATGAGTAAGGTTACTGGGTATGCTAAAAGTACAACTCAATTGTCAAGCAAAAATATTTTCACATTTTCAAGCCAATTAGCTA